CCCCAAAACCCCAAAACCCCAAAACCCCAAAACCCCTAAAATTCCCGAATATTTGATAATCTTTTAACAAATATGGAAAGCCAAGAACCAATTAGAGAAAGTATGCCCCAGCTTCTTTATTGAGTTAACACTAGATTTAGAGCCAATAGAGACACTAGAAATAGATGACACATACATTGACAGCGTGATATCCGGGTTAAAATAACTTGTATGAAGAATTAGTAGTTGAAGACCAAAATGCAGAGATAAACGCATCCCTGATGCAGGTAGGCTTCCGTTTTCATACCCTCCAGCAACCCAATCAGAGTGTTTTAAAGAACAAGTGGTTTGAGAGTGAGCGTAGTAAGGCAATACAGAGCTTAAAGGTATCTCTATGGTACTAAATATTTAGGAAATCTTTGTAAGACAACAACAGCAAATAGTTGAGAAGCGCAAGAATATGAATAAAACTCATGTGTTCTTGTTCAAGAACTTCACCAGGGTGTTCATTGTCAAGAATATCTTAAGCTATCTTGAATTGGATGAGATAATAAACTTAACAGGTGTTTGAATGTACTTCAACTCTCTGATCAAGTCAACTTTCTTCATGAAATACATTGTAGCTTTGAAGGAGAGAACCAAAATTGAGATCACATTTGATAACTTCGTCCAGCACGCTGGGGATGATCCCAAGACCAAAATTGGTAAGCCTCCGTTGTGACCAATAGCATCAAGATTCTCACATATCCAGAGTAAGAAGAAGTCTATCAGCGAGGAGGATGCCTTCGCCAGGCTTGAAGCAGCCAAGAACGTCAAAGATTTCCTCACTGATAAGCTAAAGACAACTGAGGAGAAGCTGCAGGTCCAGGACAGGGACATTAAAGCTCTTCACAAGTTGCTAGACATTGAGAAGAACATCAACCAGAAGGAAACCATGAGAATCAGAGAACTTGAAAGGGAGCTCAAAGAAGAAAGAACCAAACATGACGAAAAAGAAACTGAGATTTTAGATAAAGTAAATGAATTAGAGACAAAGCTTAGAGAGAAGGACAGAAGCCTCCAAATGCTCAGCACTAAGTACTCAGAAATTAAACAACATAAGAAGGTACTCAAGAATGAAGTACTCAATTTGATGGAGCAGCTTAAATCTTCAGAGTATCGTCTCCAGACATCCCAGACGACTGTTAATTCAATAGCAGACTTTTTCAACAATAATACCTTGCAAAAGTTGGAGCAGCTTAAGGAGAGGAAGAGTAAGGGCAGGAAGGATAATGAGGTTGCGTCATAAGCCCAGTCCCACCTTATGTTTCTGCTTATGACATTTGTACTCACCATCGAGAATATATGTCATTCAATAGAATCTCACTGAAACGGGGTTTTGGGGTTTTGGGGTTTTGGGG